AATAACATTTATTGATTTCCGTATATTGAACCAGCCTTGCATCCCAGGGATGAATCCTACTTGATCATGGTGCACAATTTTTTTTGATATGTTTTCCCCCTATATATTTATATTGCTCTTGTATAGTCGCAAAATCTCCCTTGCAGGGGCGGGCGACGGCTATGCCCCTCCTCCAATTGGGGTGATCCTTCAACTAGGCTGGCAGGTGCTGGGCCCCTTCTCCTACCTTGCGGGCGGCAGCTGGGCCCTTCCTCCAATTGGGGTGATGTGTCTACCATGCTGGGAGGTTGCTGGGTGTGTTCTGCTGGTCGGTCACAGGTCTGCTGACCTTGCAGCGCCTGTGGCGGCTCTTCTTTGCCCCTCCTCCACTTGGGGTGATGTGTCTACCATGACGGTGGGCCGCTGGGGTGTTCTGCTGGTCGGTCACAGGTCTGCCTACCTTGCAGTGCAGGTGGCGGCTCTGCTCTGCCCCTCCTCCACTTGTGGTGAAGTGTCTACCACGCTGGCAGGCCGCTGGGCGTGTTCTGCCGGACGCAGGTCTGCCAGAAATAATCATTTAAAACAGATATCATAACATGCCATTTCTTTGCTTAAAACCCTTCAATAATTTGGGTCCAAAGAACAAAATTACAAGAAGACAGGACTAAAAGTGATGGCTTTAAAAAAATAATCCTTGTCTCAAGAATTTTTTTACAAACAGATATGAAAATGTCTATAATAATGTAAAATAAGGTAAAATAAAACAGTAATTTGAAGAGAATTTTAGGAGGCAAGTGAGGTGGCTCTTTCAGGTCACAGTCTAAGGGACTTATTCTCTTAGGAGGTGACATTTATGGTGAAATTTGATTGATAGCAAGCAATCATCCACATGCAGTACGGAACATGGGGATTCCAGGGAGGGGCAACAGTGTTCCTATGGCAGCAATGAATTTGGCATAAGTATTCAAGAGATTGAGGACAAATATGCACAGAGTAGGAGCACAGGAAGGTACAGAGTAAATATTATAACTCAATGTGGGATAAGTAGATATTAAAAGTCATGTCAGGTAAAAACTTTCACAGCAAAATAAGACATTGGCACTCATCCCCACACAATGTAAAGCTAAATAGTAACATGATATGGTTTATATATTTTTTTTCCCAAACATGGATTTGATTTTATTTAAAGTGGATGAAAAGACCTTCCAAAGAACAGAAGCAGTAATCCAAATGCTCAAAAACCACTCACACCATGCAAATTGCATTTACACACAGAATGCAATCCAGAAGTTAATAGAAACTAAACTTCTGCTTCTTTGGAGTAAATTTAACCAAAAGATCAGAAGATAGAAAATAATAAGTGATAACAATAAAGAATTTAATGAATCATGAAAAACTAAATGTATAATCTGATTAAAGAGAGAGAGAGAGAAAGAGAGAGAGAGAGAGAGAGAGAGATTCTTTAGTGTAATTTTCCTTAACTCTCTGCACAAGGAGAAGATTCTGGGTTTTTAAGATTTTTTTTTTAATCAGACCAATACCTTTATTTATTTATTTTTCATGTGGTGCTGAGAATTGAACCCAGGGCCCCGCACCTGCTAGGCGAGTGCTCTACCGCTGAGTCACAACCCTAGCCCCAGTTTTTAAGACCTTTGAATAGGACTTTCCTGGAGGAAATTTGCTTTTGAGCACTGTATAGGGGCTCATTTCTGAAAGAAGCCTAAAATAATTGGAACTCCTTGGCCAGCTCCATGGAGAAGTACCTCAGTGGGAAGGCAGTACGGTGGTGGGATATAGAAATCCTGGAGCAAGTTTACCTGGTTCAAATGCTAGCACTTTCATTTATTAACTATGATCTTTGGTAATTTACTTATGCTTTCTATCAGTTTTCTTGGCTATTTTCTCTTTCTTTCTTTCTTTCTTTCTTCTTCTTTTTTTTTTCTTTTTGGTCCTGGGGATTGAACCCAGAGCCTTGCACATGCTAGGCAAGTACTCTACCCCTGAGCTATATCCCCAGTCTAGTTTTCTTGGTTAAAAAAAGGGAACACTAGCCATGCACAGAAGTGCATACCTGTAATCCCAGTGGTTTAGGAGGCTGAGGCAGAAGGATTGCGAGTTCAAAGCCAGTCTCAGCAACTTAGTGAGACCCTAAGCAACTCATCGAGACCCAATCTCTAAATAAAATACCAAAAAAAAGGTCTGGGATATGGCTCAGTGACTAAGCCCCCTTGGGTTCAATCCCCAGTACCAAAAAAAAAAAAAAAAAAAAAAAGCTAATTGTACTAACCACACAGACGTAAAGCTCTTATAAGGGTTGTGACAAGGGAAGTACTCAATAAATATTATTACCTGATTGGAAAAAAAAACTTAATGTGTGTTCATGTGTATCTTTAGGAAAAGAACAAGGCATCTTGCTCACCAGTTTGGGAGAGTGTACAATAAATAACTGGATGATTTGCTATAGCAGCTTTTTTTCTGACTTGGAGAAATATTTAAAAGTAAAATCTTAAATGAGACATATTTCTTGTTGTAGGCTTTTTTTCCCCAGAGAGAGGATTAGAAAGATTTTAAGAGTGAAAACATGAATTGGTGAGATTTAGTGAACAGACAACAAATGACTTCATTGGAGCTATAGTTACTGTAAGTGGTAGACAATGGAAACTAAAGTAAGTTTACTTATTTGTTAAAAATGGAAGCAGGATAATTCAAAAGTACAACATATTCAGTGGCGGGGGCATCTGTTCAAAAACATGTAGCAATTCTACGGCAAGGCAAATGCGACCCATGGGACAGGTTCCCAGGATCAGAGAGGAGCAAGAGTTAAGTCAGGAGCTTGGTTAGGAGTTCAGCCACCAAGAATAGTGGAGTTAAGAAACTCAGTTTTCCAAATGAGTGGTGAGGACTCCAGAAATGGCTTCCTGCTTCCGTCAAAGATTTTAAAAGTATATATCTCTTTGTGGACCTCCTCTAACTTGAGTCAGAAAATAAAAATGTATTAAGCACCAACTGTATTCTATGTTCTATGTCATTAAGAAATACGAGTCTTATTTCACTTATTACCAAAGGTTGCCCCATCTCTGTTCCTGGTCACTTTTCTTGCCATGGGGAAGGAAGAGGGGGGCATGTGGCTCTCTAATTTTCCATAAGTAAAGCCTTGTTTTTCCTCTTCTTTTTACAGAAGGCTCTCACCTTTACCAGTGGAGGTTAAAGAGAAAGAAAAGAAATAATTAAAGTACTTCCTTAGAGATGGGAATAAAAGGGGATCCAAGAAGTGGGGGCGAATCTCAGTGGCCCTGGGTTCTACCCCCAACTCCATAAAAAAGGAAAGAAAAGGGCCAATCGGTTGCTATAGTACAATGAAAGGATGAGAAGATTATTTCAGACCCACCCTTCACCCTCAACCATAATACAAGAATGAGACATACTTTCGCAGCAAAATTATGCAGCTCTTGGGGGCTTCTGCCTTCCATAAAAAGGCTACACTCCAAAGTGATAGACTAGGTTTCTACTCTTATACAAACCACTTCTCGAGATGCAAATTTTTAAAAGGTGTTTCTATAGAAGGATTGCATTAACATAACCTTCTAAAATATATCCTTTGAAAGACATTCTTCCAGCAGTTTTCTTACTCAATTCCTTTAGCTTTCAGTTCCTCCTTGACACGTTCCAGGTAGTGAGGATCAGGGTAGCCATAATTTTCTGGTCCTCCAGACCAGGATGTTTTGTGATATATATCATTCCATGTAATGACATTTGAGATTCCTGATGTTTGAGATTGCCCCACTGTAAAAATCAGCTTTTGTTCAAAGGCTTTTAAAAGTAGTTCCAAAACCTTCTTTCCTTCCTTATTATCAGGCAAGTATGCAGTTCACTGTATTCCAGAATAAGGCTTTCCTGGGTTTGGATGCTTGTTCGTTTGTATGCCTCCTGACATATTATATGTAATGACAATGGTGCCACAGGATGGATAACCCGGAAGTGACTGTTTTACAGTTCTGTGATTCATAGTTCCTTCTGGTTGATTCCCTTTCTGGACGCCATAAGAAGTCTGACACACGGGGCAGACAGGCCTATAAGAAATGGCTTTATCTATACAATGCCTGCAGAATTCGTGCTTGCACTTTGGTAGTACTTGTTTGTCACTCATGGTATCCATGCAGATGACACAGAGGTCCTTTTCCTTATTGTCTGCTTTGGAGGCCACAGAACTTGCAGAGTCCTTGAATGGAGGTGAAGCTGCTTTTGAATTATTACTATCAATGTCCATGGGTGTTTCATGATCTTTGTTCAATTTCTCTCCAGCTGACAGCGACAGGTCCCCACTCTTTAAGACATATTGCTTTGCCTCTGCAACATGATTTGGCAAACCAGTCAAAGTCATTGACTCTCGACTCAGTACAAAGTGTATATCTGGATGCCTCTTTCTGAAGTCATCAGCAAACTTAATCCCACGTAAGTGCTGTTTCTCCTTGCCCAAAGTTTTCAGTAAAAGGACTTCTTTTGTCAGCTGACAGGTGGCATGTTGAAAGGCATCGATGAAACTTGCATAAGCATGCACAGACAGATCTATCTCCTTATCCTTTGGATCAAATAGAATGCAGGTTTTCTGACCTTTCTCCCTAACTTTACTATGACTATTGTACTTTTGCTCTATCTCTACTATCTTTTGGAGTAACTGAGCTTCTAGAAGCTTATAGTGAACAGTATGGTTTATATTTTTAAGAAAATGTTCTGGCTATTGAGAAAGGAATAGATTCATAAAAAGGCAAATGGAGAAACTGTATTCATGTAGCAAGGAATGATGCTGCCATAGGTAGAGAGGGAGACATGCAAATGAAAAAGTAACTATGCATATGGAGGCACATTCTATAGTGAGAGATTGGATCTGGAGCATTAAAAAAGGAAGGAACTAAGAATAGATCCTGAGTTTATGTATTTATTATTGATTTTATTTATTATGTAAATAGATGATTGTACTATTTACTAATAATGAAAGAGATTTTGTACTAAACGGAGAAATAAGAGTTTTATTTGAAATGTATCTATTATTGTCTCGATATTGACCAGGAAGATCTCACTTGAGATTTCTGACATCCTTACAATAATCTCTGTTTAGAATACTTGGATATTCAGGATCTTCTGCTGATAAAGTTTTTCCCAGAGATTCTGTTCAAAATCACACAGTTTCCTTCAAAGAACAGCAACTAAACATCAAAGACAGAGTTACCTTTGAACTTTCAGATACCTCTGGCATGGAGAAAGAATTCTAACCAAAAGCACAGAGCATATGAATTATTTTCAAAATAATTAAACTTCAAGAATATACATAAAGGTCAATATTTACCATTAAGCTCAGTAATTCTAGCAATAAGAAAAAGTAGAATGATCTAGGAAAGCATCATGTTCATAAAAAAATAAGTTCAGAGAAAAAATATACATATATACACAAATAAAATATTGGCCCTTTCAATAAATTTGCAGAAAATAAAGTAAGCATTGTGCCTTTTGAACTTTTTATGTGTTATCCCATTCAAAGTTAACATACAACTTTAATTAAGTTAATAATGCCCTCCTAACCCTAAAACACACACACACACACACACACACACTCCTTAACATTTAGTTGCCTTTTCCTTGGATAACTAAATGTCACTTAAGAACTGAATTTGATCTTCTCATCCAGAAAGATTTTTAAAAATAGTGTATGTTGTAGTCATTAGGAAAAAAGCATTACCAATTTCACTGTCTTACAGAGAAGATGGACTGATTGGGAAAGAAGAATCACAGATGATGTGAAGAAGCAGAGCAATGTGGAAGGACTAAAGGAAAGATAAGCATAGCTCCATCAAATCAAATATTTACAGGGTAGAAATTTTAACAATTTTATTTTTGGAAAGGAAGTGTTTGTACTCCTAAGGGAAGAAAACTGTGAATCTAGAATTAAAATTAATAAATTTCTAAGTTCCACCTTGGTAATATCTTCAAAAGACAATCTCTCCAAATTCTGAGTACCAAGATCATGATATGCTAATTTTGTTCTTTACTTTGGAGTAGTGCTTTCTGTTGTACTGATACTTATATCACTGATACACAGCTTCAAGATTCCATGGGAAATGCCCCCTCTTTTATGTGTTTTTGTCTTTCAATGGGTCATAATTTTTTAGTAAAATAGAGACTTGTTTTCATGAGCATAAATTCAGTATCAAATAAATATATACATATTCCAAAACTGTGCTCCACAAAGCTATAAATTGGGTCTTGTTATGATATTGATGGTGTACAAGAGGCCCCACTGCCTACTACAGCAGTGATTCTCAACTTCTCTAGTGGAACAGTGGTGACAAGTAGTAACATTATCCAACAGAGCAGCTTTTCTAAACAGCATGGCCATACAGGAAGGCACAATTCATTTGCATGTGTGCATATGTATGGACACACACATACACACACACACACAAAAAATATTAGAAACATCCCCTCGCTGTCAACCCTTTCAAGTCACTGACTAGCTGCTGAATGAAAATGTTCAGGGCAAGGAACTACAATGTATTTGTGTGTGTGTGTGTGTGTGTGTGTGTGTGTGTGTGTGTTGAGATCTTTTTCTCCATTTATTGGTACATTACAATTATACATAGCACTGTATTTGCTGTTACATTTTCATACATGCTCATAATATATCAGTATAATTTGATCAATTTCATTCTCTAGTACCTCCCCTTTCCCACTGCTCCTCCATCAAAGAATTCACTATATCTTAAGGTAACCCCTAATTTCACTTTTTTCAAGCAGTGCTAATAATTATCATAAAAATTATGGTCTTATATGCCCATTTTCTCAGTTGGTATTATTTCTGAACTTTGGCCATGAAATCTTTCTTCTATATAGTCCATAGGAATTGCCAATTCCATCCAGTTTCTTGCAAAAACATATCAAAGGACATCAAATTATTTCTCAAAGAATATGGAAATAAATTTTGGAATCTGTATTAGTCAGATTTTGGCCAAAGAAGCAGGAAAATTATCTATCTGCATGTACACAGGTATGTGTATATATGCATATGTGTGTGTGAATTTTTTTTAGAGAGAGATTCTACCTTATGCAGTTGTTGGAGATAGTTACACATTGTCTATGAAGCTCTTCCATTTGTATTTAGTGGTAGAGCCAAAAATTTGCAAAGTTGTCAGGAGGAAAAGATAGATGTGTGGTAATGGGAGCAGGACCTAGACTTGCATGTCTTGCATGTCTTGGGATTCACAAAGATGGCCTGGAATTTCCTCATGACCTTCAAGTTTCCAGCATTATCAAGTTGACCCTGAGCAGAGGCTAGAGTTCTTCATCAAGTTTCTAACTCTGGAGCTGGCTAACAGAGGAGCTGAAAGAGCATGTCTGGCAGAAGTCCAAGAGGCTGTGGTCCAGCTGCTGCCTATGCCAACAAGGTGAGCCAACAGATAAGTGAGAATGTGGCTTGTGGCTAGTACTTCACTTCCACCTGCCAAAATGTTGAGTGGTCCCTACTTAGGCAGGAACTATCAAGGGAAAAAGGTACTGGGGAAAAAACAGTTTCAGCTGAGCAAGGGTAACACAATACAAATCTATAATATTGTCTTTATTACATATTTTATTATTAAATAAAAACATATAGCCCTTATTCTGAAATTGTTATGCAACTACATCCATGTGAATTTTCCACAAAGGAAATAAATCATTTATGGATCCTGAATGATACATAATCATAAATGGCTCCTGGATAAAGCATAAGTATCCCAAATCATGGGGAAAAGAGGCAAGGTGGACCTGCACGATACTGGGCAGATCAAGGGCTTCATTCTGCTACCTCTCTTTTCTAGTTAGGGAAACAGTGTGGAGTTAGATACCCACTCTTTCTTGGACAAAACCCAGAGTTAAAGCCATATCTTCTACCTACATAGTCTTTTTATGTGCATTTCATATATTTTCATAATTTATAAACTTTTTCATTTATAAACTACAAATCTGAAATATTATTATACTCAGAATCAACACTGCTGTTTTTCTTTCCCTTTCACTTGGGGCAAAGCAGAGGTTGAATTTTAAGACTGCCTTTACAAAGTCTTTCCAAACCTGCTGCTATTATCTTTTAACTTCCCCCATAATCACTTCTTCCTCAAACCTTTGTGACTTTTTCTTCTTCTGTGTGTTTAATTTTTATGGCTGTGGGAATTCATCAACTAAATTAACCCATGTGTTTCTGTTTAGAAATCCACATTTAGAATTAATTAGGGTCAACAAAAACAGCATGATTTATTGTTTTTCTACAGAGTGTCCACTTTCTGATTTGGACAGAATTTCAGCTTCGTATTGCTTTAGGTACAAAATTACAATAGAAAGCCAAGCAAACGTTAATTAAATATGATCTGAAGCCGTTCTGTACCAGCTGCTTCAACACTGATGGTGTTTCTGCTTTGTGAGCTGCATCACCCATGCGTCCCCATCAATGTTGAATGCAGCCTTGACCAAGGTGTTACCTAAACTTGGCAATTGGTGGAGACACAAAATGTGTGAGCAAATAAGATAACATGTAGGAGAGAAAATAAATCCTATTTACAAAACAAAAATATAGCCAGTATGCTCTTATTATAACAACATGAGAAACTTTTATTAATGTTTCCTGTTTTGTTTCTAAACCATTCTTGTTCTTGTCTACCAACATTTAAAAATTAGTTGATGTGCTGTGATTGCGAAGGTGAAATGAATAGATAAGGAGCTGCACAGCTGTTTACGGTTTTGGTTTATAGCTCTGGGACATACCATTCTGGAAACATTCTGTTCCAGTTCATTTTAACAGTAATTAGAAGTACCCCCATAACGAGGAGCTTGCTGTTGGAAACAACTTCATTAGTTTGGGTGATTTTATTGGTTTCCTTTAGGGTGAAGAACTAGCACTAATAGTTGTAATTTAATAGGAAAATTACTGAAGCAAGAAAGATTCCACTGAATCTTAAATGAGGCGTTAGACAGAAGTTTCCTTTCCAAATAATGAAATATAAGACGACTGCCTTAATCTAAAAAATTCTTATATGAATGCTCATAAACTAAATGTCATTCTGGTTAAATGTTTAAATATTGTTTAAATAAAACATCAAGTACCCATACAGAAAACACACAGGTAAAACTGACATACATTAAAAATGAATGTGCTCACGTAAAACATTTTTCTTCACACTTTATTTAAAGTAAGGTACAATAAACATATCCCTTGGAAAATTTGTCTTCTTTTAGATAAAGAGGATAATTCACTTTTCTAATCCTACTCTTCTCACATTCCCACTCTATTTTCGCCTTCCCCCATTTTCCCCTCACCCATCATCTCCCTAAGTAGCAACATTTTCTTTGTCATGAAAAGGATTAATGGGACAATCTTGTCACCTCTGGTACACACATGATTCTTTCTCTGCAAAACACTTTATAATCATTTAGGAATCTTTCCTCCCACTTCCAATGCAATGTGACTCAGCATTGCTTTCAGTATTTTACAGCAGACAAAATAGATTCAGAGGAATGTATCCAAAATTTCAAAGAAAACTAGCATCAGTAATCTGCGATGTAACCCAGTATCCTTTATCTTAGAGGCTATATTATGACACCTCTCCATCATTTGGAAACAATTGTCTTTTAGTACAAAAGAAGAAAGGTTGAATTATTCAAAATATGAAAGTTCACAATGCCTGGCTTCTAAAATAGAGAAGAAAATATAGGAGAAATTTTATATTTTGACTTCAAGCTGATCATCCAGATACAAAATGGTAGTGTCTTTCCTTTTGGCGAGGTATGCCTCAACATCTGTGAGTTATAAATCCACCGAGCAGGAACTATGATACCATGATGATTTTTGCAGCCCAAGTATGTTACACAGCGCTTTTCTCGGAGTAGAAAAAACTAATTGAATAATTTTTTTTCTACAATAACTAATTGAATAAATATTGGGCTAAATAAAGTAAAGTAAATGTACTGGGTATGGTGGCACATTCCTACAATTCTAGCTCCTCAGGAGGCTGAGGCAGAAGGGTGGCAAGTTGCAGGCCAGCCTGGGCAACATAATAAGACCACAATCTCAGAGTAAATAAATAAATAGTTTCACGCTGTGAATTAGCACTAGATTTGTTCCACATCTCTGTCATCTTCATTTACTCATGGTGAAAATCAGGAGTCCAAGAGGGTTGGAAGTCCAAACATGCAAGTCCTTGTAAGCCTCAGTGTAAGATGCATCTCTAGCATACCATTGACCAAAGCAAGTTACATGACCAAGGTAGAGAAGTAAATTCCTTCAATAAAGTGAATATTTCCTGATCAGTAATGCAATATACCACAATGAAGAAAGAATCCACTCTGGAGGAATTTTTTTTTTCATTTTTATATTTTTATCAGTGCATTATAGTAATATAACATTGAGTTTCATTTTGACAAAATCATACATATGAAGCCAGATTTAAAGATAAGTAGTGAATGTAGTTAGGTAAATTGGGTCTAATATCGAGTAAAATCCAAAATGGAAGCCAAGCTGGGAATGAAGTCCGGGAAAAACAGAACAACCCATGGAATGTTAATGTCCCCAAGGCCCAAAGCCCATCCCAAAGAAGTGTTAATGAAACAGCTTCCTGCAAACTTGAAGATGCTGACCCCAAAATCCTTCCAGTTCAGATTTCTCCTTTGGCCCACCTGTGCCCCACCCTTGACAGAACAAAGAACAGGAATGTGACAGGAATGCGGGCAAGCTAATAGAAGACCTTAGCTATATAAAGGGGAGACAACCTCCCTTCCACGGATTCCATCTCTTGGGTCCCCTTCTTCCTCAGGAGAAGTCTTTTCTGCTGTTCTTTAATAAACTTCTACTTTCCACTCTGACCTTGCCTTGGCATGCTTCTCTGGTGTTATACTTCAACATTAGGGAAGCAAGGACTCCTCACCAGTAAACAGCGGTAACACACACATGGAATATAATTTATTACATTTCAATCTCTAGTACTTCTTTTCTTCCCCTCTTCCCACCTCCTATTCTCCTTTTCTTCCTTCTATTTATTTATAGTTTTTTTTAACTTGTGCTTTATAGATATACATAAAGGTGAACTTCATTCTGCTACATTTATACATGTGCATAGTATAATTCAGTCAATTTCATTCCACTGTTTCTCCTTTTTCCTTTCACTCTTCCCTCCCCCTTAATTCCCTTCCTCTAATCTACAGATTGCCCTTCTATTTTCATAGAATTCCCCATATTTTTTCCCTTTAATTTTGGTTTAACTTCTGTACATGTCAAAACCTTTCAACCCTTGACTTTCTGAGTTTGGCTTATTTCACTTGGCATGATGTTCTCTAGTTTCATCCATTTACCAGCATATGCTATAATTTCATTATTATTTGTGTCTGAGTGTTACCATTGTTTTACCGGTGACGAGTCCTTGCTTCCCCAATATTGAAGCACAGAGAAGCACGTGGAGGCAAGTTTAGAGTGGAAAGTAGAGGCTTTATTAAAGGACAGCAGAAAAGACTTCTCCCCAGAGGAAGAAGGGGACCCAAGAGACGGAATCCGTGGAAGGGCAAATGTGTTCCCCTTTTTATAGCTAAGGTCTTCATCATCCAGCTTTCCTGTTATCTTTCAGTGATGGAATGTAGGTGGGAAGGCCCAAAAGGTAAGGGGCAGGTGGGCCTGAGGAGTAATCTAGGCAGGAAGGAGTTTTGGATTAGCATCTCCATCTTTGCTGGGAGCTGTCTCATTAACATTTCTTTGGGATGAGCTCTGGGCCTTGGGGTCATTAACATTCCAAGAGTTGTTCTGCTTTAGACCAGATTTACCTAACTACACTAACTACCTATCTTTAAATCTGGCTTCATTAGTAAAATTCCATTGTGTATACATACCCCATTTTCTTTATCCATTCATTGTTATCCATTGTTAATGGGCACCTGGGCTGGTTCCATAACTTGGCTACTGTGAATTACACTGCTATAAAATTTGAAGTGGCTTTTATCACTATAATATGCTGATTTTAGTTCTTTAGGACACAAACCAAATAACTGGATAGCTGTGTCATTTGTAAGTTGTGTTTCTAGTCTTTTGAGGAACTTCCAAAAACCTGCTTTCCAGAGAATTTGTACTGCTTTGTAGTCCCACCAACAAGGTATGACTATGCCTTTTACTCAATCCTCTTCAATCATTTATTATTATTTGTATTCTTGATGATTAGCATTTTGATTGGTATGAGATAAAATCTCAACGTAGTTTTGATTTGCATTTCCAACATTACTAAGTATGTTGAACAATTTTCATATATTTGTTTGCCATTTTTATTTCTTCTTTTAAGAAGTATCTTTTTAATTCTTTTCTCCATTTATTAATTGGGTTATTTGGGGTTTTGGTGTCAAATTTGTTGAGTTCTTTATATATTCTGGATCTTTATCTTCTGTCAGAGCAGCAGCTAACAAAGGTTTTCTCTTGTTCTAAAGTCTTTCCCTTCACATTTATAGTTGTTTCCTTTGCTGTGCAGAAACTTTTTAATTTAATGCCATCCCATGTATGATTTTATTTCTTGCATTTTAGGTCTTGTTAAGTAAGTCAGTGCCAGTGCCAACATGTTGGAATGTTGACCCTATGTTTTTTCTAGCAATTTCAAAGTTTCTGGTCTAATTCCTAAGTCTTTAATCCACTTTTTGTTCCCTTTTGTGCAGAATGCAAGATAGGGATCTAGTTTCATTCTACATATGGATTTCTATTTTTCTCAGCACCATTTGTTAAAAAGGCTATGTTTTCTCCAATGTATGTTTTTGGCACCTTTTCCCAGTATCAGATACCTATATTAGGTGGATTTGTTTCTGTATCTTCTATTCCATTCCATTGGTATTCACATCTGTTTTGGTACCAGTACAATGCTGTTTTTGTTAAGATAGCTCTGTATTATATTTTGAGATTAGGTATTTTGATGACTCCTACATGGCTCTTCTTACTGAAAATATTCTGGGTATTTTATTCTTCCAAATGAATTTTAGGACTGCTTTCTCTAGTTCTGTGAAGAATGTCATTGTTATTTTGATAAGGAATGCATTGAATCTGCATAATACTAGGGTAATATGGCCATTTTAATAATATTAATTCTGCCTATCCAAGAACATAGGAGTCTTTTCTATATTCTTAGGTTCTCCTTCAATTTCTTTCCTTGGTAGTCTACAGTTTTCACTGTAGAAGTCTTTTATCCCCTTGGTTAGACTTATTCCTAAATTTGTTTGTTTGGTTCGTTGGTTGGTTGATTGGTTGGGGTTTTTTGTTTGTTTGTTTGTTTGTTTTGGGAGGTTATTGAGAATGGGATAATTTTCCTGATTTTTTTTTCCTTTGCAGATTCCTTATTGGCACATAGGAAAGCAATTGATTTGTATATGTTAATTTTTTTGTATATGTTGATTTTGTATCCTGCTACTTTGCTAAATTTTTTG